GGGTGAAACGAATTCAGAGAGGAATGTCAGTAAGCTCTGCAGCAAGATTCATAGATACCGAGGTGAAACGTTTTCCATCACGATCATACTTCAAGCAAGACATTCAGCTTCGGTTGTCTGAGGTCCGGACTGGACTATACAGTGGATTCTCTCCAATAAAGGAGTAGCTTACCACGTGGGAAGAAGCTGCGAAGCACACTTAGGATGGGTGCTCCGGGGAGCTGGGCTTCAGAGTTGCGCGGTGAGCATTAGCACTTCATGTTATTGCATTAGCCGATGAATACTTAGCCCTTGATTTGAAGGAACCGCATTGGGCGGTGGCCAAATGAACACCGATTTGGGCGGTGGCCAAACGAAGTGGAAAAGGAGAAAATTCAACAAGTCTGAAACCAAGTGGGAAATTGCAAATGGAAACCAGATGACCAGAAAAGGCAAGAATTCATCCAAAACGATGAAAACTCATCAAAAAAACGCGCAAACATACTGCGCACACTGCGGCTGCTACGCAAACCCACCAAAAAATTACATTTTGAAGAAATTCTAAGAAAAACGACTCGAACTGACCAGCAAGCAATTGAGAACTCATCAAAACCGTTAAAAAGAGTGGGGGAGCCACAAAAAACTAAAAAACTCAACAGAATACTATCCTCTTGGCCTGAACGCTTGTTTTGGGTAGACTTCGAGAAGAATTGCAAAGATTTCCCAGAGGCAGATGGCAAATCAGTCACTGGCTGGAGAATTGATCAAGAGTGGCTGGAGGGTTGCTGTAGAGTCGCTCCAGAGTCGCTGGAGAGTCGCTGGAGGGTCGCTGGAGAGTCGCTGAAGAGTCGCCGAAGAGTCGCTGGAGAGTGGCTGGAGGGTCGCTGGAGAGTCGCTGAAGAGTCGCTGGAGAGTCGCTGGAGAGTCGCTGGAGAGTCGCTGGAGGGTCGCTGGCTGTCTAAGAGGCTCTACAACGCAAGTTCTACAACGCGGCGTGCAGTTTGAGGTAGGCGTGGGCAACTAACACCAAAATGATTGCATTTATCGCGGTTGGGTACCAAACGATGAGAAAATCGTGGAAAATATGAACCACAATCGGAAATCATAAAGAAAACGCAGCAAAAACAACAAAAAACAACCGTAGAAGGTGAGTTGACTCAACTTTACAGGGTTCAACGCAGGAAATCAACAAAAAATAAAAAAACATAGAAGAAAATAGGAAAAGATACAAAAAAAAAAAGGTGATCTGACACAGTTGTAGACCAAACCAAGCAAAGCTTCTACAAATCAACGCAAAATCATTGAACTAACAGCCCCTTCAAAATCATGGTCGCGGGAGGGTC